TACCGAGCTGCCTGGAGAGGCTGCGGGCTGCCAGCAAGACGGCGCTGGTGCAGGACGGTAACGGCGGCGGCGGCGAGACGGGATAGCTCCCTCCTTCCCCCCCCCGACGTGGTTTGGGGTGACCCTGCAGCGAGCGGGCGGGGGGACGGAGGGCTCCCGGGGACGGCCCTGCAGCCGGGACAGGGCCCCAGCAAGGGACACTGGGCCATCAACGCGGGGACACGGCCCCAAACAGCGGGACGGGGCCCCAGACAGCAGGACAGGGCCATACACCCAGCGATAGGTGTATTCCTATTTACCTTCACCACCTGCCTTGCCTCTAGGGAAGCGGAAGATCCACTACCTGTTCGAGGATGGGAAGGAGATGGCCGAAGAGTACGACGTGAAGACCGGTCAGTTAGTGAGTAAGTGGCGCTCTCAGCTGGCCCCCAGCAGACGTGGGTCGGGGCAGGACTGCGGCATGCGTGGCAGCGGGTCCGCACTCCCAGGACTGGGGTGTTGAGAGGGACCTCCTGGTCAGGAACAAACCGCCCCTAAATATTCTGGGAGATAAGCATGGCTGTAGCTGAATTTTGTAGGGATGTAAGTATGGGTCAGTTTGGGCCCAGGGTGCTCTGACTTCCCTGGCGTAGCAGACCTTGCTTTAGCCCAGGATCTCTCCCAAACAGCTCATCTGTAACAACAGGCTTGGATGGACTAAATGCGATTGCCATCTTGCATAGTCTGTAGTGCATGCTGGGGTGAAATATGCTTTTTGGTGGCTTCTGCGGCCACAAACAAGTGAGGCGTCGGTTATGGATCTTGTCCAAAACCACATCAGCTGTGGCACGGCACCTGCTGCAACCCCACTGTGGTTTCAGCACCAATTAGCAAAAAAGAGACTCAGTGTAGAGTTTCTGATTTCAGGAATAGGCCAGCTAATTGATCCACTCACACCAAAGTGGAAATGACTGGAGTTAAGATGTGTATCTTCATATCATCTCAGTGTGCTGGGCAGCCCTGGCAGTCATTCGCTGGAGTTCTTATGAACCAGAATAATGAAAATCCTTCTTCTTCCTTCCACAGGTAGAAAATGGCGAGAGAAGAACACCCTCGGGGGCTCTGGCAAGTGGCAGGTTGAAGTGGGAGAGCCAACCTCACCGCTCCTGGGAGCACTGGAATCAGAGCTCATAAAGGAAAGCAGCTCCAATGTATGTAAGGGTCTGCAGGCACAACTGCACCTAAAACTAAAGTCTTGTGCTTACAGGAGTAGTTAATAGACCACAGATCACTCACAGCCCCAAGAGACAGCCTTAACCTGTCCAGCACTCTGCTACAAATCATCCCAAAGGTGTGGGGCTGGGTAGAAAGAGGGCACAGCTTACGTTCTTCTGGGGTCTTCAAGAGAGTTATAGTTTCATTAAGTAGAGGAACTGTACTGCTGTGTTGGCCAGCTACAATTCTGGCTTCCGAAAAAGTAGGGTGAAAGGAAGGGCAGTGCCAGGACAAGTCAGTGGATGGAAAGGAGAGGTGATGACAATGACAGGCTGACACAGGCAGTGCATAGCAGGCTGCTCCTTAACACAGCACTGCCTGTTTCATCTTCATATCCCACTAGCTTAGGGGGCAGAGGTTTTAGTCTCTCACCGTCTTTTCTGTGGACCTGAAACACGAGCACAGCCCTGCACAGCAAATTGGGGCAGAGCCAGGACTGAATCCAGCAGGTCCCTAGGGTAGGCAGAGCTCCGTATTCGGTTGCCTGGGAGGAAGAGGCCTGGTTTCCCTGAAACCCTGTACTGCAAAACTCCCTCAGTGAACACTTTGACCCTCCTACAAGCAGGGCAGGCAGTGCCCTGGGTAAAGGTAGAGCAGCGCTAGCTCTAGGAAAGTGATGCTCAGGCAGTTTCTTGTGTTACTTCCTAATGCTCCGGTGTGAAGGAAGAGCTACTCCCACATGGAGCGTCTCAAGGTAGTACAGGAGGAAGGGGACAGGGAGGAGAGGAGACAGCTGGAGGGGCCTTGCTAAAGGTATTTGTTTGCTGTAGCCTGTCTTCATGAGGAAGGATACCCTGAGCAGCTTCCAGTGGCGGATCCGTAACCTGCCCTACCCCAAGGAGGTCTACAGCGTCTCCGTGGAGAAGGAGCAGCGCTGCTGTGTCATCCGGACCACCAACAAGAAGTCAGTAAGGACAGCACTGCCAGTGCTGACAGTCCCTCGGGGGTGGGCTGGCACAGAGGGCAGGCTAGTGATTGCACAGGGGGGTTGTCATCTCTTGCCTTCGATCCCCAGCGTGCAAGGGCCGAGGGGCCTCACCTCGCAGCTGCGTGTCTCCTGCTGTCCAATTTCCACTCCCAGCTGCCCCAGATATGTTTATGGTAGAGCCCCTCAAGCTCTGAGCTGGCCTTTGCAAACTTATCTCACAGTTCCAGTAGCATGGTGTTTGCTCTGTTCTCTCCCTGTCAAACGTCCCTTCCTTAGAAAAATAAAGTAAGAAAGAGCCTTGCAGACCTTTTGAAGCTAGAGCATCCCATCTTCTCCCTCTGACATGATATTTTAATCTAGTCGTTGTGTCTCAGAATGCATGGAGCTGCAGGATTCAACAGGTACAGCAAAGTCATGGGCAACCAGGCAGACAGATTTCCCTGGGTAAACCTGTCCTGTAGTCACAATGCCAATGACATGCAGACTGAATCTGGAAAGGAAGCACCACAATATTCTGCCAAAAGAAATTTGAGATGGGAGGGGAAAAAAAAAGAAAAGGCTTTTAAGCATCATCTTATACTGTGTCAGTACATGGCACCTCTCATAGAATGAGACACAAACTGTGCCCCAAAGCATTTACAGCCTCACTGAGATAAGCCAGGATGAGCAGTAGTATTGGGAAGAGATAGCAAGATATTGGAAGATAAGCGAAAGCTATTTACAAACTTGGATAATACATCAGTATGGAAGGCTGAGCAGGCTGCTCTCTTGCCTTCCCTCCCCAACATTGCTGCAGAACAGAGAAGGATCAGATTCATGGGTAAAATCAACCCCGGTGTTTCCCAGCCTGCCCCCTGCCCTCTCTAAGCTGCTCTTTGTAGCTGGCTGTAGGTGGTGCTGTTGGCAAAGAACTGCTCCACTTTGGCTGCTGAACGCCTTTCGGATGGCAGAACCTGAGGGCTTAACCACATCAGAGGCCGTGGCAAGGGAACGTTTGAGCTCTGCACATGAGCGTACCTGGACGCTCAAAAGCAGGAGGAGGCTA